ATAGTTTTGTGTTTGTACAGTCAACGGCAGACACTGCTATTTTTTTTAACACACCCCTTTCAACTAATTGCCCAATTGCACAGCCTTAAGAGCGTGCATATCATGAATGCTGGGTCTTGTTTGCTTTCTGAGAATCTACTGCACCTACTGGTAACTTGTTTGCCATGTAGCACTAAAAAAAAATATACTAAAAACCTGGATTATTCTGGTTAGTCACATTGTACTGCTATTATTTTGAACAATACTGTATTAAATGATCAATTCACCCACACAGATATTTCTATCTGCCTTTCTGAGATATGACATTTCTGTAATTGTTCATATGAGAGCTAGCGACAGTGAGAGCCAACAAGATTAACAGGTGCACTGATTCTGGAAGAGATTTAGCTGTTTAAGTGTGAAATGCTCCAAAGTGCAATGTTAAAATATCTTCAGTGATTTATCTGTACCAACGTTTTGAGCAACAAACATATGAGGTGTATTCAAACAATTCTTAAATTACTACACCGATGAAATACACCTTTCATTCTCCCTCCACCTGTGGCCCAACACCGTGGTTAGACTGGTGGCATGTTGCTAATTACCAAGCAGCTGGCCAACAGCAGTTGAGGATGGACACCGGCCATATGGAGGTCAAAAGGTCTTTGTGATGCTCGGTGCAAAAATCACACGTTACTGATACCATATAATACGAGAACAAAGCAAAATCTAAAATAGTTCTTTTACTAGATCGGCCAAATTAACAGAAAAGAAAAAAGGGAAAATGTCACATCCGTAAAGTACCACGACTGAGGATATAGAGAAAATGTTACAAATCATTTTTGCTAAAATAATTTATCTAAAAACATTAAAAATCAAGTGGTTTTATATCCACAAAGTACAAACACTGATTAGTCATTAAAAGGTTAAATATGTGTCCAGTGATTTTACAGACTAAAATCTAAAACTGATTCAGACCTTTGCTAGTGGCTGTTATTACTGGCTTCCTTTAGCAAGTGTGTAATTAGGACAGCAAAATAAAAACAGGAAATCACAAATGACAGTCAAATCATCAACTCAAGATCACAACAACATTGGAGAGAACTGCTGCAAACCCCGATTCTGTGATATTAAAAACATCAGTCGATTCTGTGATATTAAAAACATCAGTTGTAGTCATGGTTTTGGTGATCAGGTCTCTGTACCGGCTCTGGCTCCAGGCCCCCTGCGGCCTCTCTTGGCTGGTGTCCTGTCATTCTCAGAGGTCATCAGCTTCCTCTTGCCGGAGGGGCCGGGTGTCCGTGGGCTGCTGCTGGAGGAGCTGCGGTTGGGAGTGTTTTGACCCCCGGGGGTTCCTCTGCGCCTTCTCTTGCCCTCCACCAGGTTATCTAAAGACATATGCCCAACAGAGCTGCTAAAGCCATAACCATAAAAAGGTATTCCTAAATAATGGCTGAACAGTTAATGCATGTGGTCTGTGTGTGGCTGTTTTCGTCTCACCCAGACTGATGTCAGAGGCCTTGGCCAGGGGAGTGGAGGTCTCGTCAGGGCCAAGGCTGTGCTGTTCCCTCAGCCTGTTTCCCTGCTCCAAGGACAGGATGACCGAGGTCCTGTTGTACCACTGCCTCTGGCCCTCCCTCTCCACATTGTAGAACAGTTCCTGGCCCTCTGTCTTATGGCCCCTCACAACACCTGCATGCACACACACACGAGACAGAAAATGATTAGAACTTGGGTTTAACACAAATATTAGCCGTTTATAAAACTACCAAAAAATAAACATCGGAAATTACATCAAACGGCCTGTTGTCCTTACACTGTTGGAGTGGAACAGGTCATTACAGTTCAAACTGTTTTTTTTTTTTTTTGCCACATTTGAATGAATGTTCGAAATAAAAAGTGATGGCCCTACTGATCACACACAGTCCTCTCTCTCACCTATGCTGAAGTACTCGTCCTCCAGCAGAGCGGTGACCTCTGTGTCCAGGGGAATGGGATCACAAAGCAGGATATCCTTCCCTGCCACCTCACACTCATAGCCATCATCAAAACGCAGGCGGAATCTCCCCTGTCCGGCATCTTTGATGATGCGGCCTGAGTAAAAATAGCCATTGGACGACCACTTGGCCACCACCCGTAGTCCAACAAAGCTGCTTCCAGCCAGGCTCGCCTCCTCTGGCGACGTCCTGAGGGAGTCAGAATGGCTGGGGAGCTCTGTGGGGCTGACAGGGAGGCGTGGGGGGAGCATACGAGTGTAGGGCTCATCCTCTGAGGAGGACTGTAGCTGGCCATAGGCACCAAGTCTCTGCAGTGAGCCTGCACCACCTCCCCTTAGGGAGAGAAGCAGAGGGTCTGATCAGACTTGAACAACGTCACATGATTCACATGGCTAATGTTGTGAGAATTCACTTTTATATCAACATCTATCATATATAATCAAAATGGAAGACACTGGAAACATTTCTTTAAAGTGCTTAAAACACAGGCAGTAAGTAGAACAGTTCTCTACTGGCCATCTTCATCTTGGTTAGAGTTTACTTTTCGTTCTGCCTGAAAGGAGTTCACACTTAATTCTCTCAATTCTCTCTTGCCCTTAAGCCGAACAGAAATTAGAAATTAAAACATGGTTGTGCTAGTAGATCAAGTGTTTCATTTGATGAATATTGACAATAAAACATGCAATTTAAGATTTATATGCAAATTCCGAATGCAGGTCCTGCTCATACAGATCTGAGCACTGCACATCTAAATTATTTATATTTTTATCTGCAAAGAAACAATATTTTACTTCAATCAACACAGTTTGGAAGAGATGTCTATTAGTGGACTCACAAAAAATTTATCAGTGTTTGATCAAATCATTTATAAAGACAAAAATGTGAAAAATATTGTAATTCCAACTTCTAGAATGTGATTTTTTTCTAATTTTCCCTGTTCCACATATTTTTAAATTTAATATCTTAAATATTAATATAAAAAAAGTCACTTGTGAATCAGAGGAACTGTGATCACTGTTTTTTGGTTTTATATAAATTTAGGAGAAAAATGTAAATGATTTAGTAACTGAAAAACAAACAAATCACAACATAAATCAATTAGCTGCGGCTCTGAGTGAGAAGATTAGTGAAAAGAGGAAAGGAAAGTGTCAGTAGAGACTGCAAGCAATTTAAGCACTTTGCCAGTTATTTCTCCCTTGTCCGTGGTTTACTAAAGTGCAGGGCGAGCCTCAGGGAGGACTCACCTGGACGGGAAGGAGCGGGACGGGGGCCGGCCCCTTCTAGCCCTTCCTCTGGGGATCAGCGGGACGAAGGCCCGGGACCCCAGGGTGCTGTAGGTTCTGTCTTTTGTGATCACTGACCCTGCCCTGTGACCCCTGTGACCCCTCTGTTGATGCCCACCTCCCCTCCTGGGACTGCAGACACACAGAGGGGAATGGGGCCGGTCAGGTTGCACAGGCACTGAACTGGGGCTACTCTCAAAATGAAAAGACACCCCGCTGAGGAATGAGGGGTGTCTAGTGACCCCAGATTCATGCATGAAGCAACTTGTACCTGGACCGGGCAGGAATCAGTGCACCAGTGAGATATTAGGGTGTTAGAAAGTCAAAGGCAGTTTAAGAGTGACAGAGGAATCAGCATGCACCTAGTACAGACAGGCACAGTGGAGAGACTTCACCGACTGAACTGTAGAGAAATAAAGCGACTGCGTTGGCAGTGTGGAGGTGGTACCTGGGGGTTTTGGCCCCTCGGCTAGGCGGCACGATGAAGTCTGGCCTGGTGAGGACGGTGCTACTGCTGGTTCCTCCTGAACTGTGCTGGAGGCTGGAGGCCTTGGACGACAGAGAACTGATGTCACCGAGGTCTCCAGAAGTCACAGAGCTGCTGCCCGTGCGACATGGGGAGATATCGCTGTCCAACACCTGGCACTCCACCACTGGCTCCTCGCTCTCCTGGTAACATCCAAAAGAACATCGATAGTCAGGTTAATCGCATCTACAAATGTTATCAAATATCCATTTAACAATGTGTTAAATTTCGCCAATACATTGTTGATTCAGCTGTATTGTCACTGAGGAGGCTGCAGTTTGTGCTGCTGTTGAGCTGTATTGTGTTATATTGAGCAGTGCTTCTCTACTTAGCCTAGCCTCAACAGGAACGGGTTTGACAAAGACTCCAAAATGACCATGAAGTTAAAGTCGGGGTACAGTAAAAATAAATGTGTTCTGAGTTTGTCGCATCACAGGAACATGTGTTATTAACCACCTAGACAAATCAGAATGATTAAAAAGATTGAAAAGTATATAAAATCATGAAAAAAAGAGAAGTATTCTCTGCTCTAAAACACTTGGGCCATGTCGGGTGAAGACATTGAAACCACACCATGGATGTATTAAGAGAGAACATTGCCTCTGCGGGGCAAAGGCATAGCTACCTAGCTAGCAAACCCTAGGGTGTAGTAGGTTTAGTAACTCACGATCAAAGGAGAACTGGTGCTAATGCACTAGGGCTCTACAGGAGCATTTTATTAAAGACCACTGAATGGGATTAGAAATATGGTGTTGGTGCTCATGGAGCCGCTTCTCTTTTGTGCTGGTGTTTGAACAAGAGCAGGCGGTGCTCAGCTCCAACAGGGAGCAGACAGCTGCTGTCACAGCAGTGGAGACGGGGAGCTGTATGCTTGTTAATGGTCACGCAACGAAACCTTCACAAGTAAAAAGCCAGTAGGAGTAATTTAACAAATCACCTGCTAAACAATCATAAACTTTGCCCACAGTCTGTGAGCTTGTTAGGCTAACAGGAAAGTGGTAACTGTGGTGACCTGTCCCGTGCAGCAGCTGCAGGGACAGGTCTGCTGTGTGGCTGTTAACTCTCTAGCCTCTCTCCCTCCACCAACTACGTCAGTTCAGACCTGCTCCAACACATTCACTGTTCATGTGTTCCTCAAAAATGCTGAAACGGTCTAATTCCACAATTCAGTGCTACATAGTTCTTAGTCGTTTCACATTTTCAGCAACTAATTTCAGATATGTATAATGTCTTTAGAAACAAATCACAGATTTTTGCTTTCCCCAGACTTTAAATCAACACCTCTCTAACACAGTTTCAACAAAAGCAAACATAACTTTCATGAAGACAGGACTGTATTACTGTTGTATTATACCACATGGTGAACTGTACCACTACAGCCAAAGACAGTTTAACTGGTTTTAACTCTTCTAGTCGTCAACCAGAAATGAAAAATCTGGTTACCTCAGCCACTTTGCGCTCCACCTCTTTACCGTCCTCATAATACACGTCCGTGATGATCCGTGTCACGGTGGTCCGCACTTCCTGGATGGTGCGCACGTGTCTGCGGTGGGCGGGGCCTGCGATTCTTCTAAAGGACGGAGACTCTGGCTCACCCTTTTAGACAAAATTAAAGATTGTCAGCCAGACAACATACACAGACATAAGCTGTAATTCTCCTTCTCCATATACAGCTGGATCTCCGTACCCTGCCAGCTGGGGAGCGCAGCCCCTGTGCATCGAAGCTGGTCTGCTGAGAGACTGTCCGCTGATGGAGCTGAGACACACAGCACAGTGACGTCAACACCACCATGTCTTCAGACTAAACCTCGACACCTCAAGCTAGCACCAACATAAGCCTCATTTCTTAGTAAGGCATCATTGAACAACAGGTTTATAGTTATTTGTTTGAGAGGGATGAACTTCCAGTTATAGATGACATCCAACTCCTGTTTCTATGGAATTTAAATGTACATATTCTAACTGTGCACCTTTACTTTTGATAACATTTGTTGCAGACACCTGTAACAGCTACTGAGATCTGTAATAAGACTATGATCAAGCTGAGTAAATTTAAAATCTCACTCAGATTTATTACTGAATTAAAGAAAATGTGTTGTACCCCTGCAAAGTAGATTAAATTTAAACTGAATTTTCTCAAAATGTGAAATTCAGCTGTTATTTTGTGTTTGGCTCTTTCACCAGCTGGGGGGCGATAGAACTCGATTTCTGGCTGTGAAGCTAAAGAAAGGCGTCCTGTATACATTCAGACCAGTGTGTTTTAATAATATACAATGACTGACGAACCCTGTTGGACGGACTCGAGGTGACGGTGCTGTCAAAGGTCTCCTGGGACACCACCTTCTGCCTGGTGTCTGTCCTGTTAGGGGCAGGTGGCTCTGCAGCTTCAGCTGGTCCTCCCCTGTTGTCAGGCTGCTCAGCAGGAGTGGGGGGGTCCTTGGGCTTTTGCTGAGGTGCTGCCAATATTTGCTGATGTGGAGGCTCTGACTGGCTGTTAGGAAGGCTGCTGCATCCCAGCGAGGAGCCTTGAGAGTTCCTCTGTGGTGAGGCGAACAGCTCCCCCCTGCAGAGATGTTAGAAGGTCAAATTTCATCAAATGCAGCAAAAAAAAAAAAAAAAAAAAAAATTATAAAATTAAAAGTCACTGTAAACTCGCTGTCATAGAGAAGAAAGAGTGAAAAAAAAGAAAAAAAAAGCACAGCTGATACCGGTATACTGGTACTATGGTCAGATCAGTGAATTGTATACACTCTTCAGACTTTCTCTGCTGAATCAGAGAAAGCAAGGGATGGAAAGAAAGTGAAAGAGTTGTGGGATTAACCCATACACTACAGCAGAGATGGCTGCAACATGATCAATGTCTTCAGGAGAGACTGTCTGAAAATATTGATACAAATTTTAGTTTTACTCTTTTATGCCTTAAACTGTAGCCTAGTAGACTACGCCTTAGACTGTGGTGAACTTTATCACACTAAATATGAACTTTCTGCTTTTCTGCACAGCAATAAGATGTAGCGCAAGTCATCCTTGAAAGATATCCACTCCCTGGACAAAGACCTCTGTTTGGTGAGGGCACACATGCGTGACTGTTATCAGTGCAGATTCCTTTCCTCTGATACTTTCCAAACCTTGTGTGTGAAACCCATGTATATACTATATACATAACTGAGCTCTGTTTTGCTCTTTGAACCTCTGTAACAAATGCTGTTGTAGACTGCTCCTTTCTGCAGAAATAAAAATACTAAAGCCATATCTACCTCAAATCTCTTTATTTCACACTCAATAAAGGTCGTTTCATTTTAGCACAAGGAGGAAGATTTTTTTCCTCGACAATGTGCACCACTGTCCCCATACTGGAATCATTACCGCATCTCTCCTTTCTCTCTGACAGCAGACTTTTAATCTGTTTTCAGTGTAGTTGGAACAGGAATAACACCTTTGCCCTTAGGCAGACAAAAAGTTACATTTGATCTGATGAAGTAGAACTGATCCTGAGCTTGAAAGCTAAGTCTGATTTGTCAAAAGATGACCCGAGGATAAACCCATTTAACTAGATGACAATATGACCTTTGATCAGGCACCAACCTCAGGCCAAACCTTAACTGTTGTGAGAACTTGTAGGTGCTGCTAACAACTGTATAAAGATATTACCTAGTATCATTTACTCATATATAGTCTCATGCAAACAGCACAGTACTCTCAATGATTTACTGCAAGAAACAAGAGAGAATTTAGTTGTTGAGGACATGTTGTAAAAACCATCTCAGTCTGTCAAAGCAGAGGACTAACCTACACCTTATTCTGCTTCCTACTCCCCAAGAGAATATGCACATAGTGCAAAAAATAACCATCCATCCCACCTCCAGAATCCAAAAGTAGGTCTCCCTCACACACATGCACACAGTGGTAGAGACAGTAGACCTATTTCTGTCTACTAAAATATATTACAAACAACAGGGGGAAAACTATTTCCACTTCCCCAGGTCAGTAGACACGTGAGGCTCCAGCAGATGAGCAATGAAAATCTTAGTATACATAAAGAAAGTGTAAATTATAAACTACACATGTATAACTTACCCTCCTGGTGAATGATTGTACTGTATGAAACTACAGCATGTTTTAGAGAAGGAAGTGGGGGTGTCCTCAAGATCACACCTGACACATGGTGGGGTTAAAAAACAAACAGAAGTGGGCCAACGCTGCTGTGAGCATATGGCAGGCTTTTCACTCTGGTACTTTCATGTCGGTTACATATTACACACGGGAGCAGAGATATACACTCTGTGGTCAGTTTATTAGGGACAAGATTAGGGCCATCGTTTGGCTAAAATGTGAGAGGGTTTCCACTGATTGTTATTCAGAGCTTAACAGTGAGAGTCAGGAATCAAACTAAAATGAAACTTGTCTGCAGAGACATTTAGTCTGTCTCAGGCACAATTTCAACCAGTTTTGTCCCAGTGTGTAGTGATCGCAAAGAGACAGAATCACATCCAGTTTCATAAGATTCATGTGACATAACAAGAGCAGGTGCACTGCTGTACTGCAGTGATGAGTATCCTACCTGACAGGTGTAGTGTTGCCTCCAAGCTGGCTGTCCTCCTCTGCCTCCTGCTGTCTGTGCACCTGCCTGACTCGAGTGAACACTGATGGGCTGCTGGCACATAAAACAGTTCTGATTAAGTTGAAAGATATTTCTGGACCAAAGTGGCAGACTGACCACAGGGGAAAAACAAACAAATGCTTTCTGGTGGACATACAATGGACACACTACTTTTTAATTACCACAAGCAGTATATATTATTATTCTATACTGCAATTTCTTCTCCTCGGGCACCTCACAATATACACGGTCACAAGAAAAAGTCATGGCACTGTTTGCAGTTTCCTGGTTTTCTTCATAATTTGGTCATGAAATGTGATCAGACCTTCACCAAAGTCACAAACATCAACAAACATAATATTTATAAGTTGATAAAACACAAACAGTCCTGAGTGATGGTGGACAGAGTCGTGGTAACAGCGTTTTAATAACTGGTTGAACCACCTTTGGCAGCTACAACCTCCAGCCAGTGCTTCCTGTATCAGTGGATCAGACCTGCACAATGTTCAGGAGGAGTTTTAAAATGTTCTCCCTGACAGAGCCGCTTCAGCTTAACCAAATTCTTAGGACGTCTGGTGTGAACATCTTGAGGTCATTCCACAGTGTCTCTATTGGGTGGAGGTCTGGGCTCTGACCGGGCCGCTCCAAAAGGCGGATTCTCTCTATCTGAAGCCATTCTGTAGTAGATTTACTCTGATGTTTAGGGTCATTGTCCTGCTGCATCACCCAGCTTGTTCTGAGCTTCAGCTTGCCGACAGCCACCCTGACATTACCTCCATCACTTTGTATGTTTAATGGGTGTGTTCAGTAAAGACATGAAAGATCAGGGCTGTTTGTTGTACAAGATGATAGACATTTGTAAACCATGGGAGGCAGTTAACATATTAATGAAGGAATTCAGTTGATGTAAATATAGAGATAGTGGCAAGTTACCTGGCTACAGCCTTGGAAACCGTTGTAACCTTGACAACAGATCCATCATCCTCTGATAATGCTGGCTCTAAGGAAAAGAAATATGTTACAAAGAGCACTCTCAAGAAGTTGCACACGCCCCAAGTTGAGCATGAACAATAACCAGCATGCAAGCAGCTCTTACTCTGCAGGCTGAAGCGCTCTGAGCTGCCCTCTTCAACAGGGGTCACCAGCTTCATCCTTAGACTCAGCTTCCCATCTCCCTTGTCTGTCACGTCCTCTCCGCTTTCTCCTGACACAATGTCACTGGCAGTAGCAATCGCCACATCTGCCGAGACATCACCCACCACATCTGGCTTTTCAGAAAAGGATGGGATCTCTGAGGAGGAAAGAGGTTCAGGCATCAGATCATTTCGTGTCATGTGACATTTAGCAGGCTGTTATGCAGCTCTAGTTGGTCTGGTACAAAAACCCACCAATGGGAGTGCTGTGTCTCAGCGTCTGCTTCAGCTGGTTGATGAGAGGGGGTGTGGCACCAGCAGGAGGACCAATCAGCTCCCCTTCTTTAGGAAGAGTGAAGTGGAAGGAGATTTCTGTAGCAGAAAAGCACAAGTGGAATCAGATTCAGTCTACCTGCACTTCATGTGCACTCGCTTTCATTTTTACCTCCAAATAAAGTGGTTTATATGATGTGTTCAAAGACTTTGGTGAATACAACATTATCATAACTCAGATAAAGGATAAAAACAATCTCCAAACAACCCAGTATTATCTCAGAATCCGAATCTGAATCAGAATCAGAATCAGCTATATTGACCAGGTGTGTTGGACACATGAGGAATTTGACTCTGGTACAGCGGCTCTCAATGTGCATGTACATGTCCTTATGTCCAGGATGTGTTGCAAAAGACCGGGAAAACAGGGAAAAACACCAAACACAGGAGAGCACGCTTAACCGAGGCAGCCATAGTCGTCAGCGCCATCTTTATCGGTAAACAAGAAAATTGGATTTGGCTTGTTTAGTTGCATCAGACTTTTTTGACACTGTCAATAAAGTTTGTTCAAAATCAAATTAATGACAGCGAAGCTTTCAATACCACGTTTAAGCTTTCAGGCAGTGAAGTCAATTCTCCTAATCAGTGGCAGAGACATTTCTTGTTTGTGAGACCTTAATACAATGCAATATGTCCATGTGACCACTTGTCATAGGTTAAATATCTGTGAAAGGGCACAACTACAGCATTCCACAAGAAAGAATCTCCGATTAGACAAAACAGAAAAATAAACATGACTTTGTATCTACTTGTGACTTTTAAAAAATGTCAACATGAGCAAAAATCTAGCAACCCACTAGTTTCATATCAACCTGCTCATAATTTTTACAGTTAATGGTATTGTAGGTGTCCCCACCCACCAAGTTGGGAACCATTGCTTTAAAAAAAGGGGGGATATAACACTTGACCGCGCTGATTGTGAGACACAGGACGTGTGGTCCAGCTTACCTCCTGAACTATCACTGAGGCTCTTGTCTTTGAGCCCCTCTGTTTCAGGCCTTGGCCTCTCAGTCTGGGAGAGCCTATCAGGAGCTGCGTTCACCTCCTTGTCCACAGGCTGGGATTCATGGCCATTAGTGGATGCAGACACCTTATTAGTTACCGAAAGTTGTGCTGCATCGGTCGGAAGAATCCGGGTGTCTTTCTCACTGTCTGTAACCACAATGATGCTGTCCGCTCCCTGGTCTTCACTCTCCTCCTCCATGGGCTCAGGAGACAACAGATGGCTCTGAGAGAGAACCAGAGCCAATCCTGAAGTCCTGTCCCCCCCTGAGCTCTCGCCCTCTGCCTCCTCCATCACCACCACCTCCTCTTCAAGCTCACCCTGTTCATGCTCATCCATCATGTCTTTATCTGTCTGACTGTTACCAACAGTTGCACATTGCTGTGACAGAGATTCTACAGGCTGACTCTCTGCCGTTCCTGCTCCTCTTACATCCACAGAGCTCTTCACAACAGTTGTGTGAGAGATCATAGACTGTGAGGGCAAGCTGCAAGCTGCAGTGTCTGAGGGAGTCTCTTGCACACAGCTGTTAACAGTCAGATTTGAGGAATCAAACTTTGTCTGAGAGCAGGACACAGTGTCAGAGCTCGCCTCAACTCTCCGACTGTCTTTTACATTCACAGCTTGTACATTCAAAGAGGCTGTTGTGTTTTTCTGCTCATCTGACTTTTGTGACAAATTGGACTGCTCGATCTTGGCACTTGTGCTGCGATGTTTTGGTGACTCAGCAGAAGTGGAAGCCTTGGAACTGGTGGCTGTTTGTGCTTCTGAGGGGACACCATTGCTCTCTCTCCTCTGACTGCAGCATGAACTCACAGAGTCACTGGTGTCGGCACCAGGTGGCTCCTCCAGCTCCTCTATCTGAGTGGCCTCGCTATCCTCAGGCTGCTTGGACATCTGCTGAGCTGGGCTACAGCTCTCTGTGTTTATAGACAGCTGCAAAGGCAAAGCGAAAGGAGCTGACTCCAGATGTTGGGACTGTGTCTCATGAGATGATGATGCTGTCTTCTTATCTGAGTGAGCCTCCAGGCTCTGCGTTGGGACAAACAGATCCTGAGAAAACAGACAACACAAAAATCACCCTCATTATCAATTAATCTGTTGATTTTTTTTTTACAATTAATTTTTGAAAAACATCCATCATAAACTGTCAGAGCCCAAAGTCATATCTTCAAATAACTTTTTTTGTCCTGTGGTTCCACATAGCATAAGAAATGGTCACAGGTATGTTTCTTCAAATGGTGACATGGCTGTCGTCTCAAGGCGATAACACTTTAGTGTTATAGACAAACCACAAGCTAAGATAATAAGTAACAAGGCAAGTCTGCTGAGGAAAAACAGCTGACTACTTACATGAAAAAAATCTGATACTTTGTAGTTGAAGTTTCAGTAAAACTCCTGACAAAGATGAACACTGGCTCTACAGCCTCCAAACAGTTAGGAGGCTACTGGCAAAGACTCTATGCTAGCTAATTCTTACAACACACACAGCCTGCACACTTAGGTAAACAGAAGACTGTTGGGTGGCAGAAGACTGGGTGATGAGGTTGCCTGCATCACCCAGGTCCTGGACACCATGTGATGCAGATCCAGATACTGGGTCTGGTCAGGAAGAATGAAACAGAACATGCAATTTGACAATGCCACCTTGGGCTCTGGGAAAATATAATGGGAAGTATTCTCCATTTTCTGGTCTTTTACAAACTCAACACTGTAAACATTACCGATAGGTAAATTTATTATAGAAAAGACACTGTGTTGCAGCCCTAAAACACACATGAAGCGGCTAAATGATTAAACAAACAAACAAAAAAAAGAACATACATGAGACAACTCTGGCTGCGAGGGTAAAGGGAGAGCACACTCCACCACAAAACCAGGGGAATACTGGGATACAGGAGTAGAGGCGGATGGGTGTGGCTTAGAGGCACCGTCTGTTTCCATTGGCTCTTCCTCCTTTTCTCCTGCTTGGTCTTCTGGGGTAAACGAAGTATCCATTGGTTCTTCAACACCTGACCCAGAAAGTGATATTAAGCTCTGCTCACCAGCTGACAGGTTTTCTTAATATAAATGTAGGCATTTAAGTAGGTTTAGTTGTTTACCATGTGCAATCTCTGGTCCAGTTGGTGAGCTGGGGATAATTAAAGGAGTGTGGGTGACGTTGTCCGGGCTGGGGGCAACATAACCAACAGAGCTCCTAAGAAAAAAGCCAAAGAGAACAGAACAAAAGTATTTTTTCTGGCCTGAGTGTGGATGGGATAACTCAATATCAGAGCACTCATGACTTACTGGGACAGACTGTCCTGCCCCAGTGTTCCCTGCCCAGACAGGTGCAGCAGTCTCAGGGTGCGGGCAGGTGTCGGAGTGGGGTGGCCCTGCTGCTCTGGCTCCGACACTGTGCTGTCTACTGCAGCAGCTATGAGCAGCACAAAAGAAACACATTAGACACAAAAAGACTGTAGTCCAGGGTTCAACTAGCGTAAACTATTCCCATTAGGTTAATGTGACTCCCCCCCTGCCGTAAAACATATATAACTGATAGTCTAGAATAAAATAGGTTTGCATGTTGTAGCCCATTTGCTACAAATAGCATTGTCTTGTGAAAACCATCCATCTCCAAAACCCCAAACTGCCATGTTTTCACCTTCATGTCAAAGCAATTTTCAGGAGATCTGATTGGATTTTAAAAAGGCTGATTTAGATTGAGTAGACATTTCTCAGCCCATAAAGTATCACTTAATCTTTATCTGACAAACTGCAAGGAACAATGATGATTAATTTAGTTTTAAAATTTTAAAAGTGATTTTCTGTCATCTGCGGCTGCAGGTTTCACTTCATTTTGTTATGATATAAAAATAAGTTACAATTCTGTCAGCGATTCAGTTTTTTTGTATTTAACTGTATAAAGATCTGAAAAGTTTTGTAACAGTAAAGTTCTAGTGGGAAATTCTGCAAGTCAAGTCAAACATGTTTTAATGCAAGAAACTACCAAATTCACCTTTACAGCATCAATATTTATTCACTGTTTGGATTTTTATGGTTTGATTTGCTGTCAGCCTAACATGTGAATTCAACAACTGTTGTCTTTAGGACAAATACACCACACCAGTAAGTGTTTCACATTAGTCTACACTACACTGAGCTCTCTTTTAAGGATTGGGTCACTTTTTCTGTGTCACTATATCTTAATAAAATAAAAAAATA